TTGCCACTAATATTGCCATGCAACAACAATATAGGGCTCAGAAGTTCACCAAGTTTTCGGATTTGATCTCTGTTTTACTTATCCCTAAAAAGCAAAATCAGTTGTTGATGAAAAATCATCAAGCTCAACCTACTAGGGCGACTACTGTGCCTGAAGCACATTATAGCACAAACCAATGCCCAAAATGCCAACATAGGCATGGTAGGGGTGCCTAGAAGCCACCCCATGTCAAGGTCAACAAAGCCAAGGCCCACTTAAGGGAGGAAACCGAGCCCAGAAGGGCCCTAACTTGACTCCCAAGGCCCTAAACTTCATGAATAAGGGTAAAGCACTAGAAACCATGGATCCAGACATGTGTTATTGTTGTTGTTCAAATGACCATTGGATTATTTGTTAGTGATTTGTTTTTGGATATTAAGTTTTTAATTAATTACTACCCTTGAATACTTAAATTATTTTAAATGGATATTTATTTTTAACACTTTTATGCATGTGACCGATTCAAATTAATTTTTATTTCTAGGTATGACTAGTGGGAAAGTTAGTTGTCTGGCAAATAGTGTAACCACGCATACTATTTTACGTGAACGCATCTATTTCACTAACTTCATATCTAAGAATGCACCTCTGACAACCTTCTAAGGCCCATCCAACTTGATCGAAAGATACGGTAAACCACGTATAATGTTATCTAATGGAATAATTTTGACCTTTGATAAGGCACTTTATTCTCCATGTTCCGGACATTGCTGAGTTTCTAGGACATTAGGGATAATAATTACCACGCTAAAACCTATGTAGACAATAGAGTTGAATTTTTGTGCATAACTTCCTACAAATATGGCCAGAAACGTATTCTAGAGAAGATGGAGCGTATTCCGAGTGGTCTGTATACTACAACCATATGCCCTATAGAAAGCCACTATGTGGCCGGCCCTGGGACCGTGCACGAAATTACATTTTGGCATGATAGTTTGGGACACCCTGGACAAACAGCGATGCGCCGTATCCTCAAATCATCACATGGGCATCCACTAACCCGAAGTTTAGGTTCGATTCAAGGAATCGCATGTCAAACCTACTCTATGGGAAAGCTTATTATTAAGCCTTTTTATGACAAAATTCATTAGAATCCTCCTGGTCTTCTACAAAAAATTCAGAGGGACATTTGTGGACCGATTCACCCTCCCTACGGACCATTTAGATTTTTTATGGTTTGACGCTTCCATACGTTGGTCACACGTATGCTTGTTGTCCACAAGGAACACTGCATTTTCTAAATTGTTGGCTTAGGTTATCAAGCTTAGGGCTCACCACCCTGATTATCCGATCAAATCTATTCGATTAGATAATGCTGGAGAATTCACATCTAAAACTTTTGATGACTATTGCATGTCAGTTAGGGTTGAAGTTGAACATCCAGTACCCCATGTTCAGACCCAGAACGGCCTGGCAAAGGCATTCATTAAGCGCTTACATATGATTGCTCGATCGTTGGTCATACATACCAAGCTCCCGATCGCTGCTTGGGGCCACGCAATATTGCACGCAGCCATGTTGGTCTACCTAAAACCTGTTGTGACCCAACCATATAGCGTTATTCAGTTAGTTACCAAATACGAACCCGACATATCGCATGTGTGCATTTTTGGTTGTGCAGTCTACATGCCGATTTCGCCATCTTTATGTACAAAAACGAGGCCTCAGCGAAGGGTATGAATCTATGTCGGATATGATTCTCCTTCAATTATTCGTTACTTAGAACCTTTGACAAGCAATTTTTTTCCGCTTGTTTTGCGGATTGTCACTTCTATGAGACAGTCTTCCCGTCATTAAGGGGAGATAAGAACATAAATGTTCATGAAGAACGACACGAATTATCGTAGACGACTCCCATTTTGCCTCATTTAGATCCCCACACCGCTTAATCCGAAACTAAAGTGTAGCGCATATTAAATCTTCATAGTGTAGCTCAGAGCATGCCAAATGCTTTCACTTATCTAGCGTGGGTGACAAGATCATATATTCCAGCTGCAAATGTGCCTACAAAGATGGATGTACCAAATGTATGACAGAATTCCTTCCTGGAGGCCTAGGATGCCACTTTGGCCGATCCACGTACATTAGCAGCTAGCCAATCATCTGCCCTGGTACATAAGAGGAAACCCACGACACAGGCCCCTGAAGAGCCTACCATGAATTTGACTGTCACTTACTCATTCTATCTAACTCATGAGGAAATTCTAGATTACAGAAGCGTCCTTGAAGAGATGAATCCACCTCTCGAGAATTGTGAGATTTCAATCCATTATGCTAGCTTAGATGATGTTTGGTGTAGAAATGAGATGAATGTTGATGATGCATTAGCATATGCAGTAGCTACTAAGATCATGTTAAGCGATGACACTGAACCTTGTTCTGTTGATAAATATCGACGTAGAACTAATTGGTTAAACTAGAAATAAGCAATCCAAGTCAAACTTGATTCACTTGAGAAACGTAAGGTGTTTGGACTTGTAGCTCCTACTCCTCCACATGTGAAGCCTGTTGGTTACAAGTGGGTTTTCTTTCTGAAGTGTAATGAGAAGAACGAAATTGTGCATTACAAAGCTCGTCTTGTTGCGTAAGGCTTCTCACAACACCCCAGGATTAACTATCACGAAACTTTTTAACCGTTATGGATGTGATTACTTTTCGCTACCTTATCAGTTTGGTAGTTTTCGAAAAATTGAGTATGCAACTGATGGACGTAATAAATGCATATCTTTAAGGGGATCTTGATACAGAAATTTATATGAAAGTTCTCAAATGACTTACATTGACTAGATCAAATATTTCCAAACCCCGAAACACGCTCTCAATTCAGCTGAGACGTTCGCTCTACAATTTAAAGCAATCAGGAAGAATGTGGTATAACTGTTTGAGTGAATACTTGACTAGCCAAGGATATGTGAACGACGAACTATGCCCTTATATGTTCATTAAGAAGTCACATTCCGGTTTTGCAATAATTACAGTTTATGTCGATGACACGAACCTCATCAGAACTCCTGAAGAATTTGAGATGAAAGATCTAGGAAAGACTCGATACTGTCTAGGCCTTGAGATAGAGTACCATTCGAATGAATCTTAGTACATCAATCGAACTACACCCAGAAGGTGTTGCGCCACTTTAATGAGGATAAAGCAAATCCTTCAAGTACTCCTGTTATCGTTTGATCGCTAGATGCAAAACGAGATCCCTTTCATTCGAATGAGGATGATGAAGAGATTTTGGAGCCTAAAGTTCCTTATCTAAGTGTGATAGGCGCTTTATTGTACTTAGCTCAGTGCACTAGACTTGACATCTCCTTCGTTGTTAATCTTTTAGGAAGATACAGTAATGCACCAACATGCAGACACTGGACTGGTGTTAAAGACATCTTCCGTTACCTCAAGGGTATCACGGTTTTGGGCTTGTTCTATCCCTATGGATCCTCGAGTGATGCCGCACCCCTTTATCTTGAGTCGATTCTTGCTTTGTTGGTTATGCCGAAGCAGGATACTTATTTGATCTGCACAAAGCACGATCTCAAACGGGTTATGTATTTACCGTTAGAGGAATCACAATCTCTTAGAGGTCAACTAAATAGACCTTAGTTGCCACTTCATCTAACCATGCTGAAATTCTCACCCTACATGAAGCAATTTGGGAATGCTTCTGGCTGAGAGCAGTTATGGGCCATATTCGAAGCTCATGTGACTTTTACCCTGTCATTGACGTCTCAACGACGATCTATGAAGACAACGTAACATGCATCAAATGGTTCAAGAAAGGTTACATCAAAAGAGACAACACCAAGCACATTGCGCTAAAGTTCTTCTTCTCACATCAACAACAAGAACATCAGAAGATTGAAATCACACAAATTTGTTCACAAGACAATATGGCCGACCTCTTCACCAAATCACTACCGAATGCGACGTTTCAGAAGCTTGTTCAAGGAATAAGTATGCGTAAACTTTCTAAGTTGTAACACTACTAGTTCTCTTTGGAATTATGTCAAACTTAGGGAGAGTTTCCTAAAATATACTTACTTGATCTTAATGTACTCTTTTTTCCCTACGATTAGGAGCATTTTTCCCACTGGGTTTTTGCTACCTAACAAGGTTTTGATGAAGCACCTACCTTGGATTGATTATATCCCTAATGAGGTTTCGTAGACATTTCATTTGACTTTGCATTTCTCACACATTTTTACTTAGCCTAGAGGTTTTGTACCTACTCAGGTTTTACCATAGTCATTGGGTTTTTTGTGAGACTTGCTTCCATATGCAAGTTCCTACCTTATTTAAGAGTAGCATGTTCCCAAAATCAGTGCTGACGAGTTGACTTCCTTAACTCTACATGATGCCGAATTTACTTGAGTATTTACACACTCAAGGGGAAGTGTTATAAATTTCTTATTTAAATGTGATTGTGTAAATCCTAAATTTGATTTTATTCTAGTTATTCTTTCCTATTAGGACTTGTATTCCTTAGAGGATAAGGATTTATTCCCTCCCTTATTACTATAAATAAAGGCATTGCGTAAGTGGAAGAACATATCCTCTACACAACCCTACAAACATATCTCTCTCTATTTTCTCTGCGCCACCAGCCCTCTCTCCCTTGTCAGTTAAATATATGTCACAACAATAACCAAATTGTCATGTCTTTTAATTTTGTGTTAGCTTTGATAAGAGGGTTAGAAAAATAATTTCATCAAATTTTGGTTCACAAAAAAAGTTTTATAATACGTAGTCGCTTAGATGATTTATTTTTTTTTCTTTTGTGAGAGTGAGAGAGAGGGAGAGAGAGAGAGAGAGGAAAAAAAAACGACGGCTGTGATGCACGCTACACAAAAAGTGGTGTCTGGACACTTGTTAGGGCCCCAACCCCCAAGCAAGCCGATCAATATAATTAGGGTTTGGAGAGCGAGAGGCGCGCAGACTCACACGAGCTCCAGAAGAAAAATTCAATGGCGTCGAAGATATCTCTGAAAACCAAGGGCAAGACTCCGGCGAAGGGCTCCAAGGGCTCGGAAGAGCGCTCGGTGGCTCAGTCCGTGAAGGAGTGGAGCACGTGGGCCATGAAGAAGGCCAAGGTCGTCACCCACTACGGCTTCATCCCGCTGGTCATCATCATCGGCATGAACTCGGATCCCAAGCCGCAACTTTCCCAGCTGCTCAGCCCGGTCTGATCTGATCCGGGTCGGATCATTCAAATTCCGTGATGGGTTTTCGATATTGTCTTTAATGGGTTAATGGGTCAGTGCTTATTCGTCGAATCTACATGTTCTGGTTATGGGTAGGAGGTATTAGGGTTGAGTTATTTGATTTGAGGAATTTTATGTATGCTTGCTTAAACTGACGAATGGGCACTTTTCACTGAGGATTTTGCCTTTTGTTGTTGGATTTATGGAATATATACAGTTGGGGTTTCTGCTTCCTAATAATCCAATTTGATTGCAATTTTAAGTGTATGATTCATATTGGGTTTCTTAGTTTTGTGTAATGTTATTTCTTTCTTTTGCGAATTGGATTGCTCTCTCCTGCTTTTTCGTGTACAATTTGATTGTCTGCCTTTTCTGTTTGGTATTTCTTTGATTAATTTGTGTTGAGGTTCATAAAGTAAACAATTTGAGACCTCGCATTGGCGTGTGATTCTGTGATGCTATTTTTCGAGAAATTGTTGTACTATCATTGAGTATTTCTCCTTTGCTATGCAGATAGCATTTTGCTTATTTAGGGATGCATAGCAATGGTCGCTAGTTTGTATCCCCAGCATCAGGTTGAAAACAGTAGACTGCTCTATGGTTTTGAGGCATTGAAAAATTGATCATAGTAGTTGAAGTGTTTGATTTGTTACAAATTTGTGGACCAAGACAAAGCCCCTTATTCAGGCTAAAACCAAAGGGGTCAAACTGAAGGGACTTCGGTTAGATTCCTTCTCTTATTTCAGAAAAGAAAAAATGGTTTTGAGCTTCTCTTTTTTATTTTGAAGGGCTGATATAGGGTTAAACCCTAGAATCTCCTATTCGAGATATCCAAACATTGGATTCCTGTTCCACAAGTTCCTACAGGTATCGTTTGGTATGCAGACGGAACAGAACGGGACGGAACGGGACGGAACGGAGCGGGAGCAAAGATGCCCTCGGATGGAAACAAGGAGGAAGAAGGAGACGGGGAGGTTATAATTTTGTGTTCCACGGATGTGGAACGAGTCGTTCTAGGGGGTGAGGTGGAACGAAAATTCATCCAAAACTCGTCCTGTGGAATAGCTCGTTCCACCCATTTTAGACGCACCAAACGTGGGACGGAACACCTTATCCCATTCTGTTCTGTCCTGTCCCACGTACCAAACAGTACCACAAGTCGCAAATAACTCCTAGCTAGAGCATCCTATTTCATATGCATAACCATCCAATAGAAGGATTTAGGCCACCAAGGATTGGATGATGGACAATAAAATAAGGCCTATGGTTCAGTAGTCTTTAGCCGAAGCATCGTGATTTGGGAAAGAAGTTCGAAGTTTATTGACTTGAATTATTAGATTACTTGGGAGCTCGACATAAAATCACCGGAATTGAATTCTCCACAATTCGACTTAGCTTAGTTAGTCATGACAAACTGTTTTGTGTCACTCATGTGGAATAGCTCAAGTTGATAATCAATACTCGCTTATAGGGAGAATAAGAATTTCTCATAAGCCGCTAATCAATTGGAATAGTTCAAATTGGTCATTGCATTGTTAATTAGAACATATATCGTACACCCATTTGAGAAATAAATTGAATAAATTAACAAAAATGATTAAAATATGTTGAACATACATTTAATTGATGAAATAGAAAGATAAGTTAATAGTTAATTATTCCAGCAAAGGCCAATAGATTTAAGTTGTATAAAAACTCAAATTCATAAAGCCCAATGAGCCCAAAGAGAACCCAAGGATGGTTATAGAAGTTAGAGAGCGAGTTAGGGTTTTGACTCACTCAAGGAATTTTCAAGGAACCATTCAAGGAGGAGATCAAGGCCCTTCCTCAAGGGTGATAAACTTTGTTTAACAAAGTAGTGCTTCAAGAGGCTGGATTCAAATCTTTATCCTTTGTATCTAAAGTTTAAAAAGGTTCATTATTCATTAGGCTTTGAAGAATTTGGTTTTGGATTTGTTTTGATTTCTCATTTATGCCCACCCAGTGATTGGGAAAAGCATGGTGTCGTAGCAGTCACCCATGGCATCATCGGCCGATTGAGCGCGAAAAAAAAATATTTTTTTTATCCTTTTTAGAGCTGGACCATAACGGGAAAAAACCTACGACATCATCTTTTTTGTTTTTTACAAGGGCGCCTTTAATAAAGGCATATATTTTAATTTCATAGTCAAAATATATATGCCTTTAGAGATTTTAATAAATTTTTCCCTACAATTTTGTTGTTACATGTATTATAACTAACCATTTGTTTGCCTCAAAATTACAAGACTGCCACTGACACGGAATTTCTAAATTCTTCGGACACAAAAAAGCACAAATTTAAATTTTTAGTAAAACAAAATTACCTACAATCTAACATTGTGGATGCCCTTCACATATATTTATAAAATTAAAAAATTAAAAAAAAAGTGATGCTACTCTATTTTTTACAATAGTGAATAAGAGAATTGTTTAGTTTTGTTGTACAAAAAAAAAGACAAAGGGGTTCTCTCTTCTTGGGATAAGCATTGGGTAGTTTAGCTTGGGTTGACATTTTTGAAACTCATTGTCGCCCAAGTAAATAAGCAAACCAACCCACCCAAACCATTCTTAGGTAGGTTGGGTTGGGCAAGTTCTATAGTTTGGCCTTAATTATTTTTTCTTGTTCCAAATGTGAGTATCGATGATAAATATTCAAGGTCCATGTCATATTCAACCTAAATCATTTGGATTTTCTAACCCCTGGATCTAAAGTCGGTGAAAAAACTATCCACGCTCGACGCGTGAGTAAAAATTAAAATAAAAACAATATAAAACTTCTCTTAAAAAAATAACCTGAAAATCATTACAGGTTTACAGAAAAATAATAAAACTCTCAAATCCCAAATTTAACACAATCTCAGCTTGTCTAGCTCTTGTCTTCCCAAATAACTCATCTGTAAAATAAAAAGTGAGAGATGAGCAACCATTGTAGGACCAAATTCTGCACAGGCAGTTCCTCTAGCTAGAGTGAGTGATTCCAGTAGATGTGGTGGGCAGTAAATTATTATTATTATTATTATTATTATTATTAGGGTAATGACAGGAAGACCACATTTTTAAACCAAATTTGGAAACCAAATGATGTGGTTGTAGATGATTAGATTATGGGAAATTTTATTTGAACTCATATAACCTCTTATTACACCCAATTTACTCTCTACACCCATATAATTTTTAATTAAACTATTGATATCTTTTTAAACCTAAATTTACTACCTAAATCACCCTCACAACCCAATCCAATATGTAAATTTATCTTTACACCCATTCAAAAAATTAAAAACCATAAAATTCATTACACTTTCAAACTTACTGGGTTAACAATGTGTCATTGTTGCCAAAGTTTCATTTGCCCAATAGATTAAAAGACTACCTTGAGTTCCTATTTCTTCTAATTTCTTGGTTCATAGCGCACAACAATGGCGACAACTCGTTTCCCCTCGTTGACAACTTTGTTGCTACTGGTCCAATACTCTTGTATATACATACCTATCTTAAAAATAGGTTCAGTAGCAGGACAAGCCAAGTTCAGCACAGACCAGGCTGCCATTCCATTACATATACGTATCACGTATGTGTTGGTTTTTCAGGATTTCTAAACTTGATTGGCAGTAAAGATAGGGGAGTGGTTGTTTGTGCAGGCTAATGCTCTAAAATGTCATATTCTTGTTGTTGTCTTCAACATGTCCTCTTTAATAATTTTGCCTCTAACCCTAAACAATTTAAGTGGCAGTTTACCAAACAATATATGCCAACATCTTCCAAGCATTCAGGGGTTGCATTTGCCATGCAACCAATTTGATGGAGGGTGAACATAGGATAAATACTATGGAGTGTTTGATTATTGAATTCACTTTTAAAGTTTAAGTTGGGTGTGGAAAGAAGTAATATGGGTTCAAATAAAATTTCTCTTAGATTATTATTAAGTGTTGATTAACGTGGTTGTTTCTTATTAGTGACACGTCATTTGGTTTGCAAAATTATTAATATTGTTAGAAGAAATGGTGGTGGTTATGGTGGTGCTTTCAATTCTAACATTTCATTGAAAGATGACAAACTCTTTGTTGCTCTCAATGCTCATCACGCTCTATCTCCTACCCAGTTGTGTTTTAAACTCATTTGTTATTTTGAATTTTTGATCACCCAATTGTTTATTTTGGCTGAATTGAAAAACTCAATTGGTTGTTTTAGGAGGAATTAAATTCCTTTATCCTTTTCATGCTATGTCGATATTGGCTATTTGTTTACTATATGAAATGGGGAAAGGGAAGAGAGAGAGAGAGAGAGAGAGAGAGAGAGAGAGAGAGAGAAAATGGAGTAAGAGAGAAGTGTGAAAATATGCTAAAGATAAAGGGTATTTTCGTAACTTACACTTTTGAGGAAACAAAGCCAATGATGTCATCTTTCATATATATATATATATATATATATATATATATATATATTGTTGTAGGCTTATTTGACAGAACTATTCTAAGAGAATAGAGAGGGGGAGGCCAGTGGCAATAAGAGAGAGAAGAGAAAGATTTAATTGTGAGGTGTGTGTTGTATCACCCCATTGTGCCCTTATTTATAGTCGTAGGATATGTTAAATCCTTCCCCTTTTAGGATTACAACTCTAATAGGATAATAACTACTAAAGGGAATATTCAAAGATATCCCTAGATACACTAGGATTTACACAATCACGTTCTTATTCTAAATACAACTACAACACTCCCCCTTGAGTATGTAAATACTCAAACAAAACATCGCATCAGATATTCAATAGTTGAGGTAAAACAGTTTATGAAGTCAGCGGCACAACGGACGAATGCGAGTCTCAAATATAAAGAAATTATGCATTGGTAGTAAAACTCACAAAACGTCGCTATGATAAAACCAAAGGCAGGTGAAAACCCATAGACTAAGGAGAAAAGTGAGAAGTATGCATAATGTCTAAAATAAACATCAAACAGGACGAAAGTAATGAACTCAATGGAGTATGATCATCCCAGGATGGATGCCTCATCAAAACCTCGTTAGGTAGCAAAAATCCAGTGGGAAAAATGTTCCTAATCGTAGGAAAAAGAGTACATTAAGATCTAGTGAATATGCTTTAGGATACTCCCCTTGAGTTAGACATAACTTCCAATAAGAGAACTACAATCAATTCAACTTAGATAATTTATGCATACCAATTCCTTGGACGAGCTTCTGAAAAGTAGACTTGGGCAATG